TACCTCAATACCCACCTCTAATAAGAAGAGACAGTATCAACCAAAATGGCCCGGAGCACAGTTACCTCATTACCCACCATCGAAAATAGCAGAACAAAGGCTGACGGTAATAGACAGAAGAAAAACAGCCAGCAACTTACCCGACTCCAATTTTCAATCAGAAAGGAAAAAAAAGGAGAAACAACAATCGAAAACTAAAAAACGTTGATCAGCTTTCAAAAACGAGCACATTCTCTCCTTCCGGTCCTCCAATCCAAATCCCAGCCAGTAAAGCAATTCACCCATTCCTCCCACAACCCCCCGAATTTGCAGGAGAAGGCTCTCAATCCTGTGTCAAAGTAATAATCAGGAAAGTTCCTCAATCTGAGTTCAATCTTTAAACGGTCTCATTTTGTCAGTGCAGAGGGTTAGAGTGCAGTTCGGTGTGTTGGGTACGGGAGGAGGTGGTCGTGCCCAGAGACATCCCGTTGACGAGTCAGTCGGTGAAACTCCGACGAAACAGTTTGTCACATGCCCTTGGTTGTTGTCCTCTTCTCTTCTCCCTCCCTCTCTGCCTATGGTTTACCGGGCAGCTCTGGCTGACTATATATATATATATATATCGTCACAGAGTAAATCAGAGCGCGAAGGCGGAAAAAAGCAAAACAAGGAAAAGAAGGAAGGAAGGAAAGCCCCACCTGTTCATCACCTCTTACGTACAAGGCCAGCCACGTGGATGACAGGTTGAGTGCTGGCTGCCCCCATCCCCGTGTGTCACAAGGACCCACTTGCACGCAGCCAAAAGGCAAAAAAGAGGTAAAGAAAAGGAGGAGGAAACCAAACCTGACAGGGAAATGTGACGATATATATATGTGTGTTTATTCATTAATCTTGATCTTGTCCCATCAGGCGATGTTCCAAATCGTAATTTTGAAATGAATTCGTACCTTGTTTTAAAATCAATAAATAAATAAATAAATTTCTCGGAAGTGTCATGGAAATGTATATAAGTACTGGAAAATTCGATGGAGAACTCCAGGTGTGAGTCATAGCCATAATCAACGTGTGCCCTTGGACCACATCCATTTTGGAAAAAAATGCGACTGGACCAGTCCAGATGTCCTGCTTGACCTGTGTCTGAACTGCTACAGACCGTCTGGATTGAGAAAAAAAAAAACTTATACCACCAGTACTTGGCCCAGCTATAGCTGCCGAGCCTGGAATGCCCCTGCATGCCGATTTTCGTCGAAGCGCTGGGGTACTGTTTCAATTTTTTTTTGGCTGGCACTTCCAGCCATTGTGGTCCGGTACCCTGAAGTCCGAATGTCGCGGCTCGTTAACGGGAAAGCGCCGCGGCCGATAGCTGGGCCAAGGACTGGATTTGGCTTCGAATTTCGAGATGGTCCTCAGCCAAAAGATTTTTGTACTGCCGTGCTGCATAACGGTATTTTTTTTTCGGACTTTTTTTATTTTCTTGAAGTCGGATTCTTTTTTGGATGGAGGTGGGGGGATGGATCCGGACACTCTGGACCGGACACTAGACCCCCAGACATCTAGTCCCAGACCGTCTGCACTGTGGTCCGGATCGTAGCCATGGAAAAAATGGCATTATCTATTCTAAAATTGGCATTCGCTCCACTATACAACACTAGTGCATTTGGACGCTTCTGGACCCCATGCATTAAAAATGTTGGACTCATCCGAATGCACCTGGTTCAGAAGAGACTAAATGCACGTAGAGGGCTGTGTAGTGGAGCAAGCCCATTATGTTATCCATTCCGGAAAATGGCATTATCCATTCTAAAATCCACACTGTTTTATCCATTCTAGAAACCATCGAATCTCGCCGAAAATAGCATCGTGTGTTCTGAAATCGGCATTTCCACGAGGTGCGGGTCCAAAGAAACTGGAAGGATGAAGGTTTTTTTTTTTTTCAATTATTTAATTTGGACCATCTCTCAGATTCTTGCGCAGGGACAATGTTAGTCTTCTCCGCATCGTTCCATTTTGATGGATGTCCCCTGATGGAGGTTTAGGAATTTGCCATCTCCATGACTTACCAGCCCTTGAAGGAGACCCCACTAGCACAGAGGATTGGATTAAGCACCTGAATCTGGATGTGTTTTAAGCAGAGGTGCAGAAAAGCAGACGAATCCAGAATTTCTGCACCTGTCTGTGAACACGTCCAGATTCAGGCATGAAATCCAATCCTCTTTGCTAGTGGGACCTCGCCCCTTGTAGCCTGAACCGAAAAAGCAATGGAGATGAGAGACCGTCTTCCCAGTTACTGTTGTTTTGTTTTTTTTGGTTTTCTTCTAGGCTACTGGCTGGGCCGCCCGGGTCACCCTATTTTCCCGGGGGGGCCGGCCGTGCAAGGACTGGGGAAGGTCCTAGCAAAAAAAAAAAAAAAAAGAACAAAAAAATGATAAAAATCCGAAAAAAAATTATGTTATCCAGAGAAATAAACTGAACAACTTTTGCCTCAGGGGCCTGGAGAGGCCCTGGACCCACTAGCGAAGTCTTCTACAATGTGTGACAGCATTTTTGTATTTTTTAATGGTTTTTAAATTTTAAGTGGTTTTAAAATGAATCAAACAAAATTGCTGGGGCTGCATACCCTGTCTACGGGCCTGGCTCCACCATGCATTACTGCACACGCATTTGGAATTTTGGATTCTTTCAGGAGGTTCGTTTGGATGAGTCGAAAAATATGAATGAACTGTGCCGAGGAAGAGTCCAAATGCATGTGCAGTATTATCCTCACGTTGCCAGGCCCTACGTCCCGACTGCAATAAAACCGCCATGTATGACGGAATAATAGTAACTGCCCGCACTTTTTATTTTATATTTTAGTACGGCAAGGCCTAAACAGCAACGCGCGAAGTCTAGAAAACGCCCGCCCCTCCTCCTCCAAAAGTCTGGAAATCGAGACCAACGTCAATGTTTAGCCTACTAGGTTTTCTTGTGTTTTCTTTGTTCGTTTTTTTTTATGTTTCTGTTTTTGTGTGAAAGTGCGATGGCCCTGAGATATCATCATCGAAATGACCGGCCCCAGATAATTCAGAAATATTACCTGGACACAGAAAGAGAGAGAGAGAGAGAGAGAGAGAGAGAGAGAGAGAGAGAATGGGTTGGGGGCGATCACATCTCCAAACAAAAAGCAATCTAGCCCACCCACTGCTTTCCTCTCTACTATCAGTCACACAGAGAGAGAGAGAGAGAGAGAGAGAGAGAGAGAGAGAATGAGGTGGGGTGGGGGCGATAGCATCTCCGAACGAAAAGCAATCCACCACACCCACTGCTTTCCTCTCTACTATCACACACACACACACACACACACACACAGAGAGAGAGAGAGAGAGAGAGAGAGAGAGAGAGAGAGAGAGAGAGAGAGAGAGAGAGAG